CCCATTCTATCAACAACCACCTCCTAATCAAATGTCACGACAAAATTCAGCCCCACAATCTATGTATCAACAGCAAGGGCCAGGTGATTTTTTTTAATTTGGCGAATGCCAAAATAGACTTAAAGTCACAGTTCGTGGGTGTATGTTGTGAGTGATGTGGTTCAACGGCTAAAGGGCATAAGTTCGTTGAGTTCTCGTTGAGTCTGTGATGATGAAAGCAGAAGAAACTGTGCAAGACACCCCGAGTAAGACCTCTTCTGATTCTGGGCATTGTGCAAATGTGCCAGCGTTTGGACGAGTTTCTGCTTGTCAGGCTGCTGGTGCAGCTAATCACGGGAGGAAAATTTACCCTGGATAACATCGACATGCCATGGAAAACTGTTAAGAAATGAACAATGCGGCAGTCAGCAAAAAGCACTATGACCGATCAGCACAATACAGCAGTCATGAAATAAAACGAAAAGGCGGATTTTGACTTCAGCGGGCGTAGGATGGCCTTTATGGAAGGCCTTTTAGGATCCTACCGAGTAACCGCGAAAGTGGTGCATTGTATGGGGGCTGCTGGTTATTGCTCATTCTGCGCGATTCTACACATTGTACGCAGGCCTGTGGCAAAATAAAAACAAATGAAAAGGAGGTTCTGGTGCAACAGCCTCTTATTCTGGACGAGTTATCAGTTGTAGCGTCTACACTCTTCGTTCTTTTTTTCACGAAAAAGTATTACCCGCTGCTGCTAGATGACTGCTCGATGAGACTTGCGATGCCTTCCGAAAAAACTCGTCCAGAGAGGGCGGCTGCCCCCGGGAAGTTCGTCCAGAAAGGGGCAGTTCTTTTTTTTTTGATAAGCTGCTATTTCATGTTTTCGCATCGTTAACCGCACTTTCACGAAAATTCGCTTTTCAGGAGCCCCGCCACCACAACAACAGCAACAACAACAACCACAGCAGCAACAACAGCAACCACAACAACAAGCACCGCCTTCAAATCCGCAATCGACCGCGCCTCCGCAACAGCAGTAGTTTTGACTAAAGTAGCTATTCTATGGTTATCCATTTCATTGGCATTCGATTTTTCTTTTATTTTTTCTTTGTTCTTATATGATTTTGTTGAAGTGTGAAAAGCACTTGATCGCGCCATGAGATTAGGTCATATGAGTAATTATGCACCAAGTTCTGTATATGCTATTGGTAATGATGATTACACCGATGTAAGGTAATAATTTATCTGTTATATAGAATTTTCGGTAGTAGCTGATCTCGACTTTCATTTCTTCATTCATTAATTTCATTTTATTTTTTTTTCAATTCAAATTCAGCAATCTATCTTCTATTCATTCTCACGTAGTAGTTGTGTGTTGATGTTGAATTCTCTTTGTGGGCGTTTTCCCAAAAACGCTCACATAATCTTATCCCCTTTTTGAGTTCTCTCTCTCTTCATATAATCCCTACGCACTCCCCCCCCCCCTTCCGCCACACGCCGTCTCTCTCCCCTTTTGTCATTCTTCTCTCTCGTGTTGTGTTTTTGTTGACTAGTGGGACACACGTCTCGTCGTGGCGTCGTCTCTCGCGAAAGTCCACGTACGCCCTGACCGTTCTGTTGTTGTTGTTTCTTGCGTGCCTTGTTAGTTGAATGCGAAATCAGTCAGTTATTTATCGTTATTATTACTGCTGCGGAGTCTCGGTCGTTCCTGGACGCTCGCATGCTACCGTTGTGAGGTGAGTAATTTTATGAGAAGATTCTTTAGAGCACATTTCACTGCTGTCGTTAGTCTGGTGCGGTTCCTTGAGTAGGTTGAAAGCGCATTTCGCACAGGTCGTGTGGGCGAGGTCGCTCAGATTATGGGCGGAGTCACTTGGATTATGCGCTTTTCTGATTGGCTCTTCCTCTTTGTCATACTGGAAGAAAGGAATATCATCAGTGAGAAGAGCACACCCAGGTGATCCCGCCCGGTACAATCAGCGTACCATATGCCTTCAGTGCAGTATAACTGAACCCGGAGAGGCTTTCTTGAAGCGTTTTTAGTTGCTGAGGCACTCAGTATAATGGGGACCGATTGTTGGCGCTTAAGATCGCGTTCATACTCCGTTACGTGAGCGATTCAGTCGCACGATCATGACTTGGAGTGCGTTCATACTTTGCGCCACCGCTCTGAGCGTACGACAGCGTTTTGAGCGTTTTGCGGGGTCGCTGAAAACGCTGTTGCATACGCTCGAAACTTTGGATCGGTATCTATACTTTCCCAGTCACTCAGAACGCTGACGCAAAGTATGAGCGCAGCCTTAGTGTGCTCTAGCGCTGATCGTGAGGTCGCTTGAACGATCGAAAGAAGTTCTGTTGGGATGTATGTCGTTTGGCGCGATTCTTTTGTCGTCTACGCGTCAGAACATGTCAGACAAACCGACTTCTAGGGGAAACAACTCGCCATAACCTCCAAACTAGTGTATATCCCCGAAGTGATCATTAGAAGAAAACTTACTGTTTGAATAATGAGCACTATAACCAAAAACAGGAGGGTTTTGATAGGCTACAAATTACGAAAACCTTATAGTTCAGTGATTCGAACAAGTTATCCGGTAGGCATGTACCTGTCAGAACACGTAAACGGCAATGAAATCGCGCCAAACGACCGCCTCCCGTTCTGTTGTAATGTGATTATGTTAGTAGTCGCAGTGGTTCAGTGGCTAACCATGGAGCATTGTCTCAAATCGACTGAGTCGCTCCACTCGCAAAATATGAAGGCAGTCTAGGAGGAACGCCGATGCAACTAGGGTACGCTTTTTGGGTTTTCGATGTCGCGGATGTAGCAGGTCCGCATTCCATTGGATTAATGTGTCATGAGGTGTGACGATGTAGGGAAACCAACTTTTCATGCGAATAAGATTTTGCAGTTCGGCTCGGTGGGGGCACTGGGTGATACTCAGCCAAACGTATACTGGCTACCATGTGAAGACTTGTGAATTTCTGTTAGCATAGTGGCTCACTCGCACAATTTCGCAACTTTGCAGGTCTGAACAAAAAGAGACCTGTTAACATGAACCAGCAAAAGGAACCTCCTAAAGTGGAGAATGCCGCCTCCAAGAAAAACAGAGCCAGTCGGGTTCCCGCATCTCGTGAAAAGTTATTCATCATCTCGGGGCGTCTTATCATCTCGAGGCTGAAATGTTTTGCTTTGGAGTGCGCACCTATGTTACAACACCGTTGTTTCGACTTTTGTCTTCTCTGTCTTATTAGGGTGGGCGGGGTCACGACTTTATCCTTTGCTTCGATACGGCTGTACTGTCCGCTAGCAGTGAAATGTGCTCCTGCTCTTGTTGGAGAATCATTCTGAATCGAATGAAATTGATTTTTGTTTCAGGTTTGTGCTTGCTCAATCGCCAGCGACTTGCAATCACTTGAACTTCGTTGTATGTCTCATTCTCCATTTGTCTTCATCATGTTTTAACACATTCTTATTGGATGTCATGCATCCTCAGAGTTTTATGCAAATTGATTACTATCACAAAGAGCCCATCATAAAAAGGAAATTAATTGATTCTCTCTGTCTGTCTCCCCATCCACATTTTTTCCTCGCTCTCTATGTTTTTGTTTTGTCTCAATTCGTTCAGCAGCGCTCATCTTTCCTCGATGTCATTTTGACGATTTCTATAAGAAAAGAATAAAAAATGGGCTGAATGAATAGTTGTGAACAATAAAGAATACATTGGGGGGGGAGGGTCACAGCTTTTGTGATCTGTTCTTGAAGGTTTCCTACTTGATAAACGTAGGATGTACGTCTCATGGGCAAGTAATTGCTACTTGATTTAAGGGCGCAGTCAGGTTCCCCATCGATGAAAAGCGGGCGCTAAGTAGTTGGAGGGGGCAAAGTGGCGATAGGAAGCCGCGGCGCGCCCCAAGTCCTCCACACTCCTACTCCCAAGTGGAAGAGGGGAGCACCACCTCAGTGAAAGGAAGAGCGCAAATAAGGCCGCGTCCATACTTTGTACCTTAGGAGACCCGGCGATATGGGAGTTCGCCGACGAGGAAAGTACAGGTCAGTCGCTGAATCGCATATTGATCCGCTCCCAAATCAGCAGATCGATACCCACCCATACTTCCCTTGTCACGCAATCTCTCGCCGAGCCTCTCAAATCGCTGTCACTCAGTCGCAAAGTAAGAACGCGGTCTGAAAGTAGCCGTGGTTGCACTTCTCCAGAAGTGTGACGCCACCTCTCCCCTCTAACCGCGTCAGCGCTGGGTGATGCTCGCAAGGCCACTATGGATAAAATGTGATTGGAGGTTGCTGAAGCGTGTCAAGGTGGGGCTAGAGGGGCTCGGTTCAGCACGAAGTCAAACCTTTTGCCACCGTTTGTGTCGCTTGGCCGTTTCCTAAATGCTGAGGAACAGGCTGCGCTGCGCCGAACCCCTCCGCCCCTCCCGGCATCGGCAGCGAATAGACTGTACGCGTTCCTCTTCTCAGTTTAGCCGATTCTTCTCTGTGTGAAGAATGAAAGGGTCTGGAAACTTCCAAAGTAGCGCGGGTAGGTGACGACAGTCGCAGTTCGCCGATGTCTTGTCTTACGCCCGATGGGCATCGCGTGCGACGTCGTGCCCGATGCCGCGCGAGGAGCGGCAAACTACTACTGTCCCGTTAGTAGCACTTCAAAATACGTGCACTTGGAACGATAACGCTTATCTATTAGTGATATGGATCTAGTAGTATCAAAGCGAAAGAAATGGGTATGGCGCAGTTTCATACTAGAACTTCCGCTAGGCGGTGTCTTCGGTAGGCATGCTGGTGAGTGAAAATGTTCTCTGACGTTTCTTCACCAAGGAGGGGATCACCCTTTTCAGATAGCTGTGGTTGTCTTGCTCAAGTTGGTGGCAATTTTAGTAATTAGCCATATTGTTTTTTGCGGTGGAAAAGGCAAAGGCAAAGGTTTGTCGCTTTCGATCACCTTCCTGGTCTGGAACATTGGCGCTACCGTTGTGGGCGGGTGCGGGGGGAGGGCAGTCGGGCAGGGTCCGCTCCTCGTCCGTAAGACGAAGAAGCGTGCGTGCGGATTATGTTCGCCTGCGTTCATTCAAGATTGAGTCTCTGCTAGGGGAGAAGGGGAGACGGGCAAAACAATCGTAACTGGCCGCGTGTCGCGCGCGGCGTTTCGCGCGGTCATGCGCGGCAACTTTTGGATATGCATGAGTTGTCGATTGAAACAGCGTAACTCACATGGATCTAACAACAGACTCTATTACGGGCGATATCCATATTCGGGGAGAGTCACTTCGTCGCGCCGTCACACGGCTCAGGTGAGGAGCATCAGGGCCTTTGTCTGTCCG